AATTTCCTATATGATTTGCTTTTAGGGTTTTAAACAGCTGTGTAGGACATTATTATCTGAAGAAAAAAAATTTTTTTTTTTCGATGAATAAAGAATTTTTACAAGAATTGTTTGCATTTTTCTCTTAATTTTTTTAATTTTAAAATTCTTTCATGCAGAGCGTGGGATTGGTTAAGTTTTTAAGTGAAGACTATATTTACTAAGCGAAAATTAAAAGCTTAATACAAATAATGCTACCAAAACTTTTTACCATATTTAAAAAGATTTTTTTCTGTCAACACATTCAGCCATCAAATTATCGATGGAGATGTGAAAATAACAAGAGAGGTCAAGTAATGTCTTTCTAGAAAATTTTATGCTATAAGTAAGCAATTTTCGATTAAGAACAGATTAATTTAACTTTAAATTTGCTAATTTTACAAAAGTAACATTTCAGAAAAGCATATCTTATTTTAGCAGGATTTTTAAAACTGAAAAACAAGTTCATTTACATTTCACTAAAAAAAAAAAAAAAAAAAAAAAAAGTTAAAAACGGCTGTTTCAATTGTTTTTTTTTTTTTGGAAGCATTGACTAAAATTAGGGCCCTCCGGTTTTTCGCAGGAAGACAGATAGCTTAATGAAAAATGCCACAAACTTAACGAAAATAAAGTTTTATTGTCAAAATACTTATTATTGAAATGAAAGACCAAAGTATTTTTTGAAAGTTTTTAATTCTTTCTCACACATTTGAAATTTTGGTTAAAGTCTTTTGTTTATGTCATTGCAGTGACATGAAAATAACTTTTTGCACTTTTATCTGTTGAAAACACATTGATTTGGAAATTCTTCTAAAACTCAGGTAATTGTCAGATTTTAATGAAATTTTCAGAACTTATTCACAAATAAATGAAAGTATTTTTGATTTTTTTCTTTTTTTAAATTTTAATTATAATAACTGATAATAGTTTAAAATCGCGTAAAATTTTGTATTGGGCTATTTCCTGGATGTGATATAGTAATTAAGTGGAAACAAAATTTACAAATCCAAAATTGGAAAGAAAAATAAACTTAGTTGTGCTATTCTATTTTTAAAATAATTTATTTTGTATTTTTTTTTTTTGCTAATTAAGTTCATTATTTTCATGTACAGTAGACTGAAATTGCTATTATTATGATCTAAAAGTTTTGTCTTTCTTATGTTGCTTCAGTTACATTTCAACAGGTTTTCAAAATTTCTATCCAACTTTAAAAGTTTAAAGCTTAAACTAAGTTTTACTTTTTTCAATTACTATTTCGCTAAATATTTTTATTTTATGTATTTACAATATTGTTGGGCATATTTCAATTGAGTAATCATAGCATTTCATTTGTTATTAAATTATAAAATTAATTGAAGAAAATTTTATAGTATTTGAATTTTTTTTATTTTTGCATATTCGAAAGGTAAATAAAAGTCAAAATATTAAATAATTGCGGAAAATATGTTCATTTGTAAAAATTACTAGGTAGTTAAAAACCAATAATATGCATTCACTTAGGATTTTGACGATTGGGTCATCCATAGTAGCTGTCATCACTTCGTCTATCAGCAGTCCATCAAACATTGGATCAGATAAACAGGACCAATCGTTAAATTGGTTGTATATTATTTCATGTTATAAGTAATATTTATTTCAAATCAGATTAAATTTTCTAATCTTACTAAAATAACGTGTCAGAAATATACATTTATTTTTTGAATGAATTAAAATAGAAAAACTTGTTTTGTTTACAAATTTCTTAAAATTATGAAAATGGCCGCTTTTAAGAAAATTTCAAGAAATCAAAATTAAATTTGACATTCTAATCTACATAATTTCTATCTGAAATACTTCAGAATATTTTAGTTAAATGGAAATAAATTAAACTTTCAATTAAAGCTAAAATGAAATATTCAAGAAAAATCATTTTTAAAATTTAATTTTAAACCTTAGGTATCGAAAATTTATGCAAAAAAAAAAAAAAAAAAAAAAAAAAAAATTAAATTTCTATTTGAAATACTCCACAGTATTTTTTTTTTTTTGGAATTAGAAAATTTAATCCTTTAGCTTTCAACTGAAGTAGTTGGAAAGCTTTAAAAAGGATTTTTCCTTTATGAAAAATACTCTTTATTACACCCCCATAAATAAATTAATAAAAACTCTAAAAATTTATGGTCGAAGCACGCAAGTCATTATATTAGTTAAAAACAAGGCTTTGAGGAAAGTAAATCATGTTTTATTTTTTAAAAATCCGACCTCGTAAACCTAAAATCAGCTCTGAATTGTAACATACAAAAGTAGTAACAAACATTTTGGCGATAAAATTTTGTTTTCGTCAAGTTTGACGTCTTTTTCATCAGTCTATGCGCTTTTTTTTAGCGATCTCATGGAGATCGCTACGACTTAGGTATATCAAATTTTTAATGTAAAGATTTAAAAATAATGACTCATGTCCCAATATTTTCTCTCTTTGACATACCTGTGTACATTGTCCTTGAGAGCCAGTTCGTCCCAAAACTTTTGTAACCTACAAGAAAGGATAAAAAATACAATATCAATTTCATGAAATGGACACAAATAGTCACTCCATAGTAAAGTTTAATTCAGTTAGAGGGCTGCTAAACATTTATGGTGACGTTTAAAACGACACAATATAAAGTAAACAAACGGTTACTAAAAAAAAAACAAAAAAAAACACGGGTAATGGGGGGGGACTAAGGGAGACAACTTTTCATATTTTTGAAAAATTGATATTCTGGTCATGCCATAAAAATTAGTTAGAAATGAAAAACATCAACCGTATTTAATCCTAAAAACTTTATCGAAATCCAAAATTTTCGATCAGATTTAGGCAATTGAAATGCACCAGCGACTATATGTAGAATTTTATTTTAAAATTCCATAGGTAATATCGCCTTTTCGTCAAGCGTACGTAGATGTACATTTTCGCGGTCAAATGTTAAATTTTGACGTCGTTCATATTTATATTTTGGTCTCAGAACACTTTTCCATTATTTTACAAAAAGGCAATATTTTTTTTATGGATGTGTTTGAGAGACGACTGAGAATTTAATTAATATTTTAACAAGTGCTTTCTAGATTTCCGTGGTAAGTTTATACAAAGAATATCAATTTTAAAATTTAAGTGATATGTATTTAAAATTAACTAGAGCACTTAAGAGACATCCAAGAACTCGATAACTAACAAATGAAAAATAGTTAATTCGAAGTTAGCCACAAGAGCATTGAGATGTTGAAGTCATTTGCACCGATAGAAATACGTTTTTAAATTTTAAAAAATTGCCTATTTTAAAATACAATTTTTCTTTATGTAGGAAAAGGTGTTTATAGACTGTAGATTATCTTGTCATAATTCTTATTCTTTTTGTTCGTTCTCTATCCTTAATTTTTTCCTCATTCTCTAACACTCAGTAACTTTGTCTTATTTGGAATGAACGTGAAATGTTTTAAAAAATATATATATACCTGTACGTTTGGAACAAGCAACAACATTTTATCAATAAAGGAAACTAGTTTCAACGGTTACTGTCAAATTGAATTGTCCAGGGTCTCGACAAGTCTGACTTTTATAATGGGAAAAAAAAAAATTAATATTTATCTTGATCCTTGATTTTTTTTTTTTTTAATCATTCCATTCAAAGCAAGGCAATAAAGCCACTAAGCCACAACGGGTTACAGTGCGAGAGAGAATGGAAAAAAAAAAAAAAAAGAAGACACCAAGAAAAGAGAACAATAAAACAGGAATTAAGACAGACAGAAGATAACGATTGACATTACATTTAAATTTTTGAAGATCAAAGTTGACTAGGAAGCAAGACCCCGGAAGAGAGTTCCACAAACAAGAAACTGTTACCGTAGGACTTACGGCTATATCAATCAATTTTAACTGTAAAATGAGGATACCTAACTACCAATGTAGTAATAATGCATTTATTCGTAAAGTACAACCATATAAAATTTATTAGTTATCTCTCAGTACCTGTGCATTGGAATTTAGTTTTTAGTTCAATGCCCAACTTCAAACTGACCGAAGTTGTTTAAATGGTACACGTCTGTTTCTTTTTCACCGAAGCGGAAAATCTAGGCTATGTTTGAGAAAAATGATTCAAAGTTTGTTCAGCAATAACGAGACTTTTAAAAATTGGTGGTTGTAATTTTTTTTTTCTTATAAAAATCAATCCCTTTTTAGTTTTTAGCTTTTAATTTACTAACAAACAAGGAGCATGCGCCAAAGTTATAATATAAATAAAAAATTAGTCTACAAATTTGATCAGATACATTTGCTGAACTTTAAAAAAAAAACGATCTCATTTTTGTGTGCGTGGAAATTAAACTCATTTAAGAATTCAGTAATGTTGTCAAGTTTTAACCACTTTGAAATGGTGTGAAGTGGTTATAAGAATAACAGTCGAAGCCAAACAGATAGAATTACTTAGTCTAAAATGTAAATTTAAAATTATTTTTTTTAATTCATTTTAAAAACACTAAGTACTGTAGTAAGATACAGTATAATGATCCACGTGCTACTAAGAAAATGGCGATGGAACCAACATGGCTGCTGTGTATGTGTTCTTAAAAATGATATATTTTAACATGTAGGCATAGATAAATATAAATAAAAATGACACAGAAACATTCTACAAGAATGCTACAACTTAAACATATATAATATACCAAAATATTATATAAATATTTACTTACTCTAGCGAGTTTTGGTGGAGCAAGCTTATCCATGGTGTACGGTCTTAGCGAGCGAGAACAAGAAAGGAATTATGGGAATGATAAATCTAATACCGCAGATTATAAGGTAGAAAAAAACATACATTTTAATTTTTACTGCCAATAAGTCTTCTGAAATATTACATATACTATTTTTAAGTTTTTTAATCATGATTTTTAAATGTAAATCATGTAAAGATTATTTAATTTATTCTGTGCTGAATTGATATACTTGGTCTGAGTGTTGTTAGTCTGCGAAAATGGCTCCTCGACGAGGGGTCACCCCTATTGTGGCTATTATTCGGAACTGGTTCCTCGGAGTAAGTATTTAAATGAACTGTAAAAACTAAGTAGTGATTGTATTTATGGGGTAGCCCCCTGTTATATATTAGTAGTTATGAAGTGATAAAAAAACGCACGAAATCGCTTGACTTTCATTGATAAACATTTATTTTTTAGTTAGTATCGTGTTATGAAGGACAACTTTTTAAACTAGTTTTTATTTTATAAATATTGATAAAAATGAAATGACACTTAGATGAAAATTTCGAACTTTGGTCATTTTTTCAGCACCTCTTCGTATATATTTGCAATGACGTTTTTATTCGTACCTCTTTTCATAAAGCAGAGGTAACCACTTTTTAAAATTAATGTTTGTAAAAAGAAGTTAAAGGTGACACTCGGAGTGTTTGTGTTACTTTCAGCCTCAGCGAACTTTTGTTTTATTTTTATTTTTGATAAACTAAAAATTTGTAAATAAATGACATGCACCTCAAACTGATGTTTCTTTTTTTGAGTTATGAACGGAACAAGTTTTCGGAAAATAGAAACAAAAAAGGATGCTTGCAGTAAGAATCGGAAAGAAACGTCTGAGAGTTCTCTGGGACGCAATGAATGAAGAAAAGGAGCTTGGAAATTTTGACACTCACAGGACATATTTAAAGGCAAAAAGAGCAAAGGGGAAAATACGAGAACCCCAACTGGCAAAACAAGGACTAAGCTAAGGGGGATAAGGATATTTAGAGTTGCAAGAAAGTTGTGGAGAGCCATAACCCATGTCCTGAAGCGATACAACATTTTAAAAGTGCACAATTATATTCATATATTTTGTCAAAAAACAAAAACTTTAGTAACACATCGTTCTAAAACGAAATTATTTTTTCCATAGTCATATTTACAAATTAACCAAACATGATATTCTGAATTTTTGGTGGCCTTTTGGTTACCTAATGTGGGACTACTTAAATAGACTGGTCCACTCGTAAAAAAATAGGGAAAATCGTTTGCAGATTAAAAAGTAAAACTTCCTCAAGCTATGACATTTTTCAGAATCAAAAATATTGTTTTTTTTTTTTTTTTTTTTTTTATCGATTAAGGAAGGGTCCTCTTCAATGTAAATAAACATTTAAAATCAATTCCTCACTTTTTACAGAGTTATTGGATATTGCTGTTATTTACAAATGTTATGTTTGAAATTGTGTTTGCTATTTATCATTGATAGCTATATTTTTTTTTTTTTTTCATTTTTTAAATTTCTTAGGTTTTTATTAAAATATTTTTTGGTAGGCTTCTTTTCAGAAGCACATGCACAAACATTGGGGATAATAATTTATCTTAAATGAAGAATATACAAATATATACTTTTATTAATTTATGCTAATGTTTGTTTAATTAAGATATATTCTTCTGTTCATTATTTAAAGGAAATCTCTTTGACATTTTGATTTTGGGATGGTTTAAAAAAATCTTTTCATAACTTCCAGGAAGATGGTGAAAAGAGTTAGTCTGGAGTCCTGCCTAATGTATCCCATCTCATTTAATTTTCTTACCTTCCAGCAATGCTCATATTATATGGACATCATTCCAAATATGGTCTACCAAACAAGATTTTCTGTTTCTGGAGAAATATCAGTCAGTTACGTGTGATATACACTTAGGCGATCATGTATCTTTCAATATATGACTGATGAAGCAGATTTTTTCCCACAGTAGGTTGCCATTTCTCTCTGCGATAGACCAGTTGCTATCCAAGGCTATAGAACCCGGTCTGTTCTGCTGTTTACCCATATCAGGGCGGGGGGAGAAGAAGAGGATTCATACCTTTCCCAAGGGTATTAGCATGTAAGTGAATGTAATGGATTTGACTGGAATTCAAACTCGGCTCTCCGATTCCTCAATCCAAGCTGCCATCCATCATGAGAAATATAGAAAAGCTATATTCCAAGGAGATAGAGAAAGGTCTGAGTGAATGTACATAATGTCATTTCAGATATTAATACTGAATTAAAAAAATAATACAAAAAAATGGATAAACTTGGATCTTTATGCCTGCAAAAGAAACAGTCATAAAGATGGTTTTTCCCTTGACACCACTATTATTTTAACTGTCTTCACTCCCTTGGCAATCTTTTAAAAATGGATGATTAGAATTTTAATAAAATCAAAACATATGAAAGTGAATTTATATATTTACTCTACTCTGTATTGAGCCCTCTTTTAAATTAAATGTATGAACATTGGAATTGTACTCTATTCATTTTCATCTTATCTGGACATTTGCTTTGGTCTTGAGAATTGATAATAAAAAAATAATAAACACTATTTACTTATTAGATTGATTATTTATACTATTTATTTATTATATCGTTTATTGGAATGTTTGAGAAAACATCAGCTAATTGCCAACTGATTCAAACTTTACAATTGTTTTAGTTTTTAGAATGTTGTAAATACATAATTATTTTTGTAAATAAACAATCTAATAAATAAATTTGTGTTTAATAGTTTTGTTGTAAATTTTCAAGAACAAAATCCTGTACAAATCATATGTTTAGGTTTTATTACAATTTTAATTGTCGCTTTTAAAACAGTAAACATTGTCAAGGAGTGAAGGTACTTAAAATAATGTTAAGGGAAAAAATGTTCTTTTGCCAAGCCATTTTAATGTGACAAATTCTTTATTTCAATACTTACCTCAAAAGTTATATATTAAGTAAAAAATAAATTATCATAAAATTCAAATCTAAAGTAAAAGGTTCTGTATGCCATAAATTTATAATAAAATTTTTACACCATCATTCTAGAACAAACAGCTTTTTCTAATTAATTTCATTTTTACAATTGGTTTGCCCATATCTTATGTGCTTGTGAGTTCTCAAAAATTGCTTCATGTATTTTTTTATTTTGATATAAATCTATCTTGTTGAGTTTTGGGTGTAAATATTAAACCTGGTATTTTATTTGATTAACTGGATGCTGTATTTTGTAAAATTAAATTTATGGAATAATTCTATAGTAAGTAATTTTTTTTTTCAGTTCAATGGCAAATTCAGTTTTCTGCACAATAAACCCACTTTACCAAATTAGCACAATCTAAATTACCCTACTGAGTATACCTGATTGATGGGGTGGCTACTAATCCTAGAGCCAACCTGTGGTTTATACTACAACTATAGTGGGCAGACCTTAGTTACAGTTTCTGGAAGAGAGTGCATAATCTGGTGGGATTAGTAATTGCACAAGGCTAGTATGTTCAAACCCTCAATCACAATTGATTTGTGACTTTGTGTTAGCTATGAAGCAGTTCTATCTACCCAATTTCACTTGCATCAATCCATGGTATGTTTTAGACCCTTCCCAATGATGCTGCATGTTGTGATTATCAAGAAGTCACTTGACAAATCAGTTAACGTGAGATTTGAACTCTGGTCTCATGATCATCAGAAAGCTCAAATTCTAGCCTATGCACCATATAACCTCACCATGAGAACATAACATAATTATTTTGAGAAAGCTTGTTTACTTTGGTTTGAAATCAATCTGCTTTCTATTTGGCTAGGTAGTGGTTGGTAGTATAACAGATGAAAAGTCATGAAGTTAACTTAACACCAGCAAATAAAGTATGATTTTTTTTTTTAAATCTGCCAAGCCTGTTTTAACTGGTGTCCTGTCTAAATAGTTATAGTTGTCCTTATTTTGCGCTATTAATTCTTATTCAGCTAATCCTGTTAGGAACTAGTTTGTCAGGCTTCACCAGTTTATTTCTAATATTTTTTTTCTTACTTTGCTTCACATTCTTGACATCATGTTTATTTACAGCTTCCTACTTGTCAGTGTTGATCATGACTCTCTTCTTTTCTTTTCTTTCAGCTTAAGTTCCAGAATCCTCTCCGTTATGAAGATGCCTATTCAAAGAGGTGAGAACTTGGCAGTTAATGTGTAGAAAGATATTTTTTTTTTTTTTTAGAAATTACCATTGTTTGATTTAAATTTGTTCTTTCTTTTATGAAGAAATGTTTCTACTCTGTATAGTCATTGTTCAAATGTTATTGTATTGCAGAAACCTTGTATTTTTGTTAACCTTATCTTTCATTCTCAAATTTGTAAAAATAATTCTTAAAAATTTTATTCAGCAGCTTTTTTCTTTTTTGGAAATTATTTTAATTAGTATAAAATATTTTTTGTATCTACCTTTTTGTTTGCTTTTATAAATAATTGTGACCCAAAACAATTAGAATTCATACACAATTATCAATATCAAATATAAATATATATTTTTTGTACAGTTTTATTAATACCAAATATTTGTCTCTTTACAAAAAAAAAAAACATTGATAAAATCTGTATCACATTTAAGAACTTCAGAAATCACTCATTTTTGAATATTTGATTACCTTCCAAGATGCTATAAAATTGATCATTGTTGAATTATAGACTAACTGTTGTAACCTAGGGAAGGTTACTGAATAGAATAATCACACGAAGGTTGGTAATGAACGATAATACTTAGGACAAGAACAACACATATAAGATTTGCCAGTGGTGTGTAGAAGTAGTAGTCAACTGCTAGAAGTGAGTCAAGTGAATTCCACAATGAATCTCCAACTGCAGAATATCTACCAACTACCCTATGCAGTCAGATGTGGCACAAGGCCGAATTTAATGTGGAGTATCCGAGCTCATAAGCTTGACCAAAAATTCCCTGTAGACCCTGTATAAAACATGGTCGGGTAGCTGTTACCCAAGATGAGACTCTGCCCTTCGACATAGCTTTGTCTGGGGATCTTCTCAGCACAGTTTGACTTCAACTGCAGAACAACATACAGTATTTACTACTGTATTCATGTGAATGGAGATATATCCATTATCGTCCGTAGCTATGCTACAACACTAACATGTCATGGAAATTGTTTAGACCTAAATAAACTGATGTTCCCCAAAATTAGATGGTTACCTAGTAGTATGTATCTTTCCCTTTGCAAAAATAACAATGGCATCATCAGCTTTATTCCTTACATGACCAGATCTGTGTTCTTTATTTTCCTAATTGTCATTTCCTACCACCCTGTCCTCTTTCATATCACACACCTCATTCATCATAACTATTTTAATATTAGCCCTCTACCTTGAAAGGCTCGCAAGCCTTGTATTGGGTAAACTTTAGTACTAAAAAATATATCCAAGCATATTCCAGGACTGTCCATAACTGAATTGTTTTTTAGGTGTGGCTGCAGAGAATTTAATGAGGTCTGCAACATGTCCTCATAGATGCTCAATGGGGTTTAAATCTCGCAAACCCAGGCGCACCAGTGGAGTATGTTTCATGTCACCATGCATGATATTCTCATTACTGCTGCATTATCTTTCTAGGACCTTGAGGCGAATAAAAAAACAGTAACCAGCGAGTAAATTCAAGCTCTCCCAGCTGGTATTTCAACCTTGAGTCGTTTCTTCTTGAGTTCTGTCTCAAAATCACACTAACTGCCCGTTCTCACCGTCAACCGTGAACGTCCCTCGAAGAACTCCCCGACTCGGAAAAAAGTAGTTGCTTTTATAGTTGTTCATATACCGATAATCCCTTGCGTCTTCATGTGATCCCATAATTCATTGCGTCCATGTCCCATAATGCATTGCATCGTTATTGCATAAAAATGCAATGCCAGTCCCCCCTCATTCTTTTACGTTATCTGGCCGAGGATGGATTACGGCAGAGCGGTAAGTGCTTTTTTTTCTCTCCCTCATTTCAACTGCAGTAGCTTTACATGCTAAGCAAATACGGGCTCTTTTTTGGCGGGGTCAAGGCAAGTCGCGACCGGTTGTGCTCGTCCCAGGTTCTGTCTCATGTCCGCCACAGACCTACAATAACCAGCAGGGACTTGGGGGGTGCATAAAGTGCAAATGCTTTGCAATAAAATCTTTGCATATCATACCTGACTCCAGTTTTATGTGTGATTTGCTCATATTCCAACAGGATGCACTTCACAGCATTACAGATACACCATTAGCTTTCAAACGTACTACCTTTAAGATGTGTGATGGGACAGTTAACCCTGCGAACAGATCTGAAGTGGTGCAAATTTTCCTCTGGTCTATAATACTGGCAACACAGGCAGTAACCCAGGTTGTCAAGTACCAATGGCCACCTGCTGTGTGTCTAAGACAGTGGTTCCCAAACATTTTTTTTTTCTCTAGACCGAATTTTCAGAATTAAAATTTGCTCAGCCCTCACCAAATAATTATGTGATAAAAAATACATTTACAAATTAAGAACAGAAAGAAGGTTAAAGGGAGATAACTGCGGATTCATTGCTAATTCTTTCCTCCAATTTGCGGCGCCTAGTTACTATATTCTTAATACTAAATACAATGCAAAAATATCACAATGATAAAAATCGGTTACTAATTATAACTATTTTTACTGGGACTCAAGCATGCAATTATAAGTAATCCATAATAATATTTTCCATTTTGAAATTATATTTATTTTTGCAATATAAGTTTTTTGAAACTGTTTCTAAATCTTTGATTGTCTTTCAATCATTCTGCCTCACATGATTTCCTCTTCCACCACACCTATAAGGTATGCTGCACCGTTTGGGTACCACTGGTCTAAGACAATGTTTTTCTGAATTTAAGAATTGCTTTGCAGACTTTAACAGTTATGATTTCTATTGCTATTCCAGCAAAATCCTTCAGTAAGTAGATATTCTTCTGTACCTAAGAATTTCAGTGATTCAAAAGGGACTTGGCTGTAATAAATATTGAAAGAGATGTACTTTATAGCATAAATTCTGATAACTGATGAATTTTCAGCAGGAAATGTTTTCATTATCTGTCTATATTTCTGAGATGAAGTATTATGTACACTATTTACATTATTTGGACTATTGTCCTCATCTTTGTCACCATATTTATTACGTTTCTGCTGTTGTACACTCTGGCCTTCTTGAGGTGGTTGGAATGTTGAACTGAACCCTTTATTTCGCTTGCTGGGGTAGACTGTTCTAGTTCCACATGCCATGTTTTAATGGATGTCAGTTGTCATTTATATCCTGTTAATTCCCCTCTCCAAGTTCTCCACTGGCTTAACTGGATATTGAACTCACACTCTTTGGGTCCTGTCATTGGATCTAACTAACGCCTTTATCCACACTGTGCCATGTGTCCTCGAGGACACATGGCAAACTGGAGTCAGGTATGATATGCAAAGATTTTATTGCAAAGCATTTGCACTTTATGCACCCCCCAAGTCCCTGCTGGTTATTGTAGGTCTGTGGCGGACATGAGACAGAACCTGGGACGAGCACAACCAGTCGCGACTTGCCTTGACCCCGCCAAAAAAGAGCCCGTATTTGCTTAGCATGTCCTCGAGGACACATGGCACAGTGTGAGTTCAGTACCCAGTTAAGGCAGTGGAGAACTTGGGGAGGAGAATTAACAGGAGATAAATGACATCCATTAAAACATGGCACGTGGAACTAGAACAGTCTACCCCAGTGAACAAAATAAAGTGTTCAGTTCAACATTCCAACCACCTGAAGAAGGCTGGAGCGTACAACGGCCAAAATGTTGTAATAAATATGGCGACAAAGATGAGGACAATAGTCCGAATAATGTAAATAGCGGAAATGTTTTTGTACAGTAACGAAAATCAAAAACAGCTGTGAATACCTGTGCAAGATCTAGTTAAGTATAGTTTTGTAAATAAATAAAAGTTACTATTTATAAACTTAAGAAATATTCTATTGCCTAATTTCTGTACACAGCAACTGACTTACTTGTCATATAAAACCTATGTTTCAAAACTTGGGATACCAACTTTATTCTGCATACTTGAGCAATGTGAGATGGATCTCTCCAAAGTTCTCAGTGAATTTCCATAAAATTTGTTGGAATAGTTGGTTATGGGCTACAGAAGAATTGATTAAATTGTTTGGTGATTCTATATGCATTTACTTTCGTTATTGATGTAACTATACATCGACATGACAACATGTCAAAAAATGTTTATAATGAAATCTTATGGAATGGTATGTTATGAGTGACAGAATAAGTGATATAAATTTAGGCTGATTCTTAGTTACCTCCCTTACAAGTAGTTTTAGTGACAATGGCGTTACTGGAGGTATATGCTTTCTGACAGCTTTTTTTTTTATTCTTTCGGTTTTCATTAAAAAACATTAAAAAAAGTAGTTACAAAGTAAAATATTTCAGAGGTGGGGGTGCCAAAATTATTTTTGCCTCTGGATGCTGAGAATTCTTGCTACATCACTGTCAAAACGATGTGGCCTTCCCCACAAACTTAAAAGAACTGGAAATGGGATTTATCCTGTCAGATGACACAATGCCAGTCTTCAATGGCAATCTTCTCGAGCCTAGAAATAATCTGCCCAACTTACATCACCTTTTAATCAGAATAAATTTCGGTAGCATCTGGCAACAGTTCTAACATTCTTTTACCCACATTTTTATTCATTTAATACTCTACTCCAAATCAACTAATTCACCTTTTGACACTACCCTTGAAAATTAATATAAACCTTAAAATCCAGTACATTTTAGTATTTTCTTTTTACATAAATATTTCTTTCTTTAAATGAGGTGTTAATTGCCAGTTAAATGTTTCTCCTCTTTTGGGCCGTTAGACTACCCTGTGAAAAACTAGTGACAGACTCACCAAGCTGGGTATTGCTGCTGTGGTTTCTGTAGCAAATAAGTTTTTACAAGGTGGACCTGCGAGCTTCATGCCCAACTAGTTTTGAATTCAGTGTTGTACTTAGATTTGTTGCCAATCGATGCTATAGAGTTCAAGCTACTCTACTATTTATTCCATAGCTCGGGGGGAGACAAGATGGGCTCATATCTTTCCTAAGAAACATTGATGGAATTTAAACACCTCACACTAATTCCACTTTCCACATCAATAACTGTTATGTTACACATACATCTACTTTGACACGTTCAAAATACCTACCATAGCCACAGTGTCATAACCCATATCTTTAAAGCATTTGGATTGTTAGAAAGTTGAATTAAATGAATGTTAAGCCTGGATTAAATGGTTAAAAGCAAGAGCTGTAAGAAGCTCAAGTTTCTCATCATTTTGTCTTCATTAAAAAAAAAAAAAAAAAAAAAAAAGGTGACATGTCATCAATTATCAGAAAATAGTTGATATCCCTGTATTTGTGTAAAACTATTACCAATTGCTAATTATGTACATTGATGCAATTTTCTTTCCAGAACTCAACCGCCACCCAATCTACCTGTTGGGCCAAGTCACAAGTTGTCATCAAATTATTATTACACCCGTGATCCTAGGAGAGAAGTTCTGCCCCCAGAACTAGCGTACCATCCACTTAAAGCTATTGCCCCTGGTGATGACAAAGAGTAAGTAAATATTATTACAGTTAAAATATACAGGGGTTGGATAAAATAATGGAATCACCTGCAAATTTCAAACAAATTTATTTTAATATGGTGTAGGACCACCTTTGGCAGTAATTACAGCTTGAAGTCTATGAGGAATTCCAGAGGAATTTTTTGTCCATTCTTCTGCCAAAACAGTTTTGAGTTCTTTCAGTGAGGGTGATAGAGGATATAGACTCCTTACTTGTTTTTCTAAACTGCAACATAAATTTTCAATAATATTGAGATCTGTGGACTGTGGTGGCCAGATAAGATCGTCTACTTCACTAGAATGTTCTTTGTGCCATTCAGACACCATTTTAGCTGTGTGAATTGGTGCATTATCATCCTGAAAGATTGTGTTTCCCTCCAGAAACAGTTCTGCAACCATAGGATGAATTTGATCTAGTAAAATTTTTGACTAGTCTTGACTTTTGATCCTTCCATGAAGGGAAACCATTGGGCCAGCAGATCCCAATCAGATCAACACAGCTTCCTCCATGTTTATCAGTTGGAAGAAGACAATCTGGATCAAATGTTTCTTTTGGCTGTCTCCACGCTTATACTTGACCAGATGTCGGAAATAAGGTAAAGGATGACTCATCTGAGAAAATAACGTTCTTCCACTGTTCTAAGGACCAGTTCTGTAGGTTTCTACTCTACTCTAAATGCTTTGCAATATTGCTTTGTGAAAGGAGTGGTTTTCTTCTTGCAGCCCTCCCGTGAAATCCGGCTTTGTTCAGCTCCCTTTTTACAGTTTTTGAGGAAACTAGGTTCTCGAGATAGTCATTAAGCTCTGCTGTAATTTTCAGAGCTATATTCTTGTGATCCTTTCTAACAATCCGTCTAAGAGTCCAACAGTCCCTATCAGACAGCTTTTGATTTCTTCCAGAGTTTTGCTTCAGTGAGGAGGTTTTTTCCTTCTTTCTCAAATGCTGTCATTACTTTTGAGACAGTACTCTTTAATACACCAAATAATTCAGTGATTTTTGTTACACTAGCGCCTTCCATATGAACACCAACGATTTGACCTCTTGTAAAGCCTGATAGATCTGCCATTTTAATGAACTTTGATTAATTTCCTCTGATGACATCTGTAAGCAAACAACAATTTTAATAAAATAAGACAAGAAAAATTAATAACAAATCAAAAAACATAAAAATAACAAATGTTTTGATGGTTTTATAGGCATTTCAAAATGATGATACTAAGATTCTAGGTGTTTCCATTATTTTGCTCAACCCTTGTATATCTCCACAGGTTGATGTAAATATAATGTGATTACTCTACCTTTTTTAATCATTTCACCCCAAGCAAGACAATAAAGCCACTAAGATAGAAGGGAGTCACTGAATGTGAGAGAATAAGAGAAAAAGAAAACATTAAGGAAAGAGAACAGTAAAAGAAGAGGAATTAAGAAGACCAAAGATAATGATTGACATAGCATTTAAATTTTTGAAGATCAAAGTTGATTGGAAAGCAAGAAGCTGGAAGAGTTCCACAATTGAGAAGTGTGAAAGAAGAAATTGTTGGTATAGAATTTATAGTTACATCTAGTAAATTTAATTGTAAAATGATGAGACCTAGCTGCCAATTTAGTACTGCACTTCTAAAATCTATGTACTAAAGAGGAAAGTTCATCAGAACAATTACCATGAAAATATTTATAGAAAAGGCACTGGAAAGCTGTTTTGGCAGTGGGAACATGACTAAAGCCAAGATGCCAAGTTAGGACTTATAACATTGCAGATTGTTCTTTGTTTTTTATCAAGAATCTCTAAATACATAGTAGAAGCACCAAGCCAGATGTAACAATATTCAAGTTTAATCTAAATACAGTGGGATTGCTCTACTTTAAAAAAGCTCTCTCTCTGATACAGAGTACTCAAAGCAACTTTAAGGCTATATATTTAAACCCACTCTTGAAAACCAATAGAGCATTCTCTTTGTATTTACATGAACTTATATGATTAATTAAAGAATGCAGGAAGCCTTTATAAATTTGACATGTTTCCATATTTATTTAGCTTCATCAGAAATTTTAAAAGTGAAATAAAATAGGTGTTTTGATTTCTTGTTTTCATTCATTAGGTAGGCATCATGTGTTCAATTTATAGCATTAATATGTATATAAAGCCTGTCCAAGAGTCTTGTGGCCCCTGCCGAATTCAAGATTGGGGGGGACCACTCTATTACCTTAATTTTGATAAGGTAGTATTCATATAAAATACAAATTTTATTTTAACCTAGTTATGTACAAATATGCAATATAGGTGAACAATTCAACCAGAAAAATGGAAAATAAATACAATGTATCTAAATACAAATTAGCGACGTGTCATAATAGATGATTCCATCTTAAATGGATCAACAATGTTTAGCAACAATTTTTAACATCAACTTGAGATTTTTCTTGTTAAAAAGTTGAATAATTTTTGACATGTTCAACATTTTGTTTAAAAAAAAAAAAAAAAAGTAGTGAATTTTATATTGTGTTTTTTTTTGAGACTTAGAATTCATGGATTTTAACAAAAAAATGATTAAATAGGGAACAAGTAGAAAAACCTTTATAAATTGGACATGTTTTGTTATTCATTTAGATTCAAGGATATTTTTTTTATTCTATATTGTTTGTTTTCATTGGTTGAGTAGATATCACATGATCTTTTTTTGTGGGTGGCAATAAAATGTATGCATGTGTCTTAATTTGAGTAGGGATATGGATATATGTTGAAACAACAGTTCTTGTATGATCACTGAAGTTAAGCAACACTGAACCTGGTCAGTACTTAGATGGATAAGTACTTGGGAATACCAGGAGTTGTAAGTTTGGATGTGTGGCTGGTGTAATGGATAATGACTCAGAATTGGAAATCAGAAGGGCAAGTTCGAATTCCAGTCAGATTCGTTATATTTACTTGCACACAAATATCTTAGAAAAGTATGAATCCTTTTCCCCAGTTTTAGTGTGTTTAATACTAAAGGGTTAATTAGTTGGACTTATATCAGTAAATCATTATCACTCCAAAATGCTTACAATCTAAAAATATAAGCTGCAAAAGATTGATAAGTCATAAAAAAAACAAATCAATCTTGTGTTGTCAGTGTATGTAACCCCAACTTTTATTTAATCATTTTGTCAGATTTAATCCAAATTTTCAATTCGTGTGTGTGTGTGTATTTGATTTGTAAATATTTTGTCTAGAATGTGCTGTGTCAGAGTTTTCTCCCTTGCACTGAAGCTAGAAGGTGAAATGACCAACTCCCTGAAAGTGTAACTACAATAGCAATAATTAGAAAAATCTATTTAAACACTCATATGAAAAGCTTCTCATAATTGTAAAGATTTAACAGCAAAATAGGCTGTCATTAATGTTAGCATTTATTCCTGATCACTCAATATCATTTCTTTGTCCTCATTGAATGCTTCATACTTTGGGCCTTGTGCCACATCTAAGCTAGGCTTAGTAAATTGCCACTTCTTTTTTACTTATTTTCAATGCACAACATACAAGTTAATTGTCAAAAATTTCATCAATTAAATTTTAAATACAAAATTGCAAAAGTCTGTAATTTTATTCCACCCAGCAGAAATATTTGTTGGAGGAAAGGTGGATTAACAATAGATTTAGTGAGCAATAATGAGAAAATCTTCTACCCAGAACAAGGCCCAAGAGCCATTCAAGGTAGAGGGTTACTAAATGAGATTTTTTTTTTGTAAGGTTTTAGTTGAAGGAAATAAGAATTGCATGTTGTGAAGACATGTAGGATAGGTTAGGGTTGACCCTAGACATGAAGAGGTTAAGATTGTAACGATTGGAGGTCTGTTCTACAAAGTAAATTCTTGGAAAAAAAATGAATGGAACTTCTTTCTTATAAATGGAATATGAAGGAAATGAAGATGAGTTGATCCAGTGTACATGACGTGATAGGTCTTAGCTGTGAAGGTCTGAACTGGTGGAACTAAGGAATATAGCTCAATTTGAATATTTGCCATGAAAGTAGCGAGAGACTAGCAATGTTTCATCTGTGGAAAAAGGTTTGTAGGGTGGAAAATAATTCATCACCCACAAGGCCGGGTAAACATTTTTGAACTCTGTCAAGGCTGGAAAGAGAAGATTGTGTAGCTCCAGCCCAGATCTGACAGCAAAACTCCATTTTTGGTCAGATTTGACACTTGTAAACATAAAGTACAGTAGAAGGAATCAACATTTCAATAATCATTTAGTCAGTTATGTGCCATGCATTATACACACTTAGGCAATCATGTACTCTTTCGATACATGACAGACGAAGCAGATTTTTCCTGCAGTAGGTTGCCATTTCTTTCTGCAGTAGACCAGTTGCCATCATCTTTTGCACCAATACAGGCCATTAGGATGAAATAAGCATAAGGAATTATCCAAAGTAAATTTCCTGCAAAAAAGAAATTTCAAATCACTTACATATCACCCAAATAGTTCAAATATACACATCCATATCATGTCCAGATATGCGGGATTCTGGATATGAGGCACTCCAGATATGTGGGATTCCGAATATGATGGATTCTGGATATGAGGGATTCTACTGTATATAAATTCACTTGAGCCATTGTATGAAAAACAACTATAAGATGAAAAATAAACAAGTTAGAAATTAATGAGAATATTACAGTTAAGAAATTCAGATAAACACTGTTACAATTCATTTACTTGACAGTTTTGTATAATCTTATTTAATCTAATCTTTTTTCTCTACCATGATAAAGCAAACATCTAGAAAATTAACAAATGAATTGTGACCTGATTTGAACATGATGACCTGGAGATAAGCAGACCTGTAATACATCCATTATGCCAACATTCAGCTACTTGAACAGCATAGTAAAATTGATTTACAAATATTAAGCAGACGGCACAGGTACTACACTGATCTAAGATAGAGGGCTAGGGAGTAACACTTTGATCCTAAAGAGAACACACACACACATTTTCATCCTAGGTAAAAGTGTTTTAATCGATACAAAAGGAATCTGATTGTTTTTGGACGGGTTCAATGAGAATTTAGGGCATTTATTAAAAATATACAAAAGTTTTATTTGGCAACAAATCGGGAAGTACAATCCATTTTCTTGATTTTTAAAAACAAAGGTCACAGGAATAGAATTTATTGAATCTTTTAAATTGAGAAAAGTAGTTTTTTTTTTTTTTTTTTTGAGAAGTAAGAAAAAAAAATGTAATCTTATTTTCTGCTAATTCTTCTAATTTTTTTTTCTCATTTTGTCTTTTCAGAACAAAGGCAGTAACCAAAAAGCCTTCACCAATTCCAGGTTTTGGTTATGATTGGGACACAGGCAAACAACTCTATGAGACTAAATAAGAATCCATTAAACTTAGTTTGTTAATGTCAATAAAATATTTATAGATAAAAAATATTCCGAATTATTTCTAATCATCTATATTTATCCCTAATTAATTTTTTTTTTTTTTTTTTTTATTTGTTTTCATATTACAAATTGCAGTACTCCTCACATTACTCATTGATACAAATCCATTTTAAAATATTTGGACCTTTGGAAAGAATTACGTAATTCCCAGCTATAAATTAGGAGTCAACCAACCAAGACAGAGCCATGGTTGAATTGTAGGAAACTGTGCCTACAATTGGTTTATCATCTTTTCTATCAGTGTGTTCAGAATTAATTACGTATTACCCAGCTATGAATTAGCAGTCGACCAAATAAAGGTGAATGGTAGGTGACCATGTCTAGAATTAATTTATCTTTTCTATCTCTCAGTGTATCTTTTATGGTGGTTTTCAGAGTTTAATTGAGAAAATTTGCAAAGAGAATTTAGTTTCTTCATGAGCTTTCACTTGAGAACTGAACACCATGTTCCACCATCCGCAGCCTTTTCTTGTTGCATCACATTGTTACATGTGATGAAAAATGGGTTTTGCATGTCACCAGAAAAGGAAAAAGTGATTATCACAAAATGAGAAACTAGTGCCAACACCAAAAACAGGACCTCTATCTGCAGGTGTCCTTGCTTTGTTTCAGATGGAATATGAATGGTGTCGTCCATTATGAACTAGTGGACATTTATTGCCAGCAATAATGTATTGTGTCCAGGTTCATGATGACTCTGTACAAAAATAATGTTCTGTAAGTGAAAACTTGCTCTATCCAATGGTGTTATTGTGCTCCTTGGATCTGCTGTAGTTTCCATAGAAATAAATGGGAGGCATTACTTTTAAAGTGTCCTTTGTAGTTTGAAAAGTGTTAGCAAAAATGTGAAGATTTACACTATCTTCAATTATTACGCTATAAAATTTCATATTTCTCTATATTTCAAATTGTAACACCATATCCTCACCCTACTAGACCCACACACTCCACAAGACTGGCTGTTGGTCAGGTATGGTCCAGTATTACAGGTTAGACACAAATCTCTGGTTTCTAATCTCAATTCGAAGCCACCCTCCAGCTATGTTGTGATTCTTTAGATCCTGGAGAATGGTCATCAGATTGTAGAAACCCAGAAGCTCTCCAGTGGTCCAGCTGTGAGTTTGTCAGGTGAGAATCTGGTTAGCAGAAAAATAAATATGACCAAGTCAATTCAATTTTGAAAGGTCAAAAGTTATTTTGTTTTTTTTATATATATATAAAAGCAAACACACATACAAAAAATAATTCTTGTTGCACAAGGTTGAATGTTTCTTGTATGTGAACAATAGCCAAACAAATACTTCGAGTAATTTCGGTAAAGGAGAGATGTGGCCTTCATTTTAACCCTTTTTGGTCTGTTCTTAGTGCAACTACTACAACCTTTGATGTTCCTGTTGTCAGTAGTAGTAATAATAGTAGGAGTAGCGGTACTTAGGTGTTAGTGGCGGTATTTCACTTCTTCACCCTCAGTTTCAACAACAGACAGCGGATGCTTCCTTTTCAATCTCTGACATCTCTCCACTCAGCTTTACTGCATTCAAAGACAGATGAACCCAAAAACTCTCTCTCTCTCTACCAGTTAGTCTTTATTAAGAGAACCAGCCTTCGTGTCCCAGACTGGTGACATATCTGTTTTTCTAGTGCGAACGTACTGACATATTACCAAAGTACAACTTCACTCCTCTGAGAATAAACAATTTACTTAGTTATCAATTGGTTTTCAAGGTTCAAAACAAGACGCTATTGTTTATCACCTCACTATTATTCTGCCGCTCTTTGTAAATTACAGTTTCTTGTTTTAAAAATAAACTCTAGATCAAAACAACCTTAATTTTAACTTCAATTCTTATAGTGTTAAAATCCATTTCTTTTTTTCAAAAGTTCTAAATTATTATTGTTCCAGTAATTTTCTTTCAGTAATCAGATATCATTTGTACACTTACAAAAAGATTGTATTTTGTGTTCTAAATTAACTTTCTGTAACATTTAAATTTCAAAGTCTTACAGCATATTAATATCTTGGTTATTCGAAAATGCCTCTCTTTCACTTGGTGTTTTTGTTTTACAGCATATCCTTCTTTATTATCATTATTATTATTTCTGGGTTGATATCACCCCTACCACAATATTGTTATGCTGTATTTCATATTTATAATAGTATAAAATTTTATATTATACTATATTTTAAAGATACACTCAAGAAAGCTTCAATTTCATATTTCCTATTATTAAACTATCTTTTAAAGATGCACTTGAGATGGCTTAAAATCCATATTGCACTATAAAATTTTATATTATGCTGTATTTCATATAACAGTATAAAATTTTATATTATACTATATTTTAAAGATACACTCAAGAAAGCTTAAATTTCATATTACATTATATTTCATATTTCCTATTATGAAACTACCTTTTAAAGACTCACTTGAGATGGCTTAAATTTCATATTAAAAGAGCAGAAATTGTAAAATTACTTCAAATGTGATTTGGAACTGGATTTATTCTAGTTTGAAATCAATGCTTACATTCAAAAGTTGAATGAGCACCTTTTCTGTTATTTCCAAATTGTGAAGTTTTTAAAAAAAAAATGTCTCATTACAATCTTGTACATACCATTAACTTGATTGGGATTGGCACATCTACTTTCGGCCTTAGCATTTTTCTTCCACTTTCTTCATTTTTTTTCTTTTCATCCCTTTCTCTGCATTTTTTGCTCACCATTTTCTTTCTTTTCTTTCTTTTCCTTTTTCCTTTCTTTCCCTTATTTCCTTTCTTTCTTTCTTTTCCTTTCTTTCTCTATCTTCTCACTCTCTCCTTCCTTTCTCCATTTTTGCACATGTGCATATTTGTTAGAGTGATTCTGTCCTTTTCCTGACTGCTAATGCATTAGTATAGATAAAAGAAGCTTCCAAGATTAAACCTTTTCAAAACAGCAAAACTCAGATAAAGCTTCTGAATGTAGCCCTACCTATCAAAGGAAAGCAAAAGATATTTCGGAAATATTCAACCTTCATACTCATTAAAAAAAAAAAAAAAAAAATGCTACATTAAAAGGACAATCATTCCCTTGACGCAGCTATTACTGTATACACTTTTGACTCCCTCAGCAATATTTTTTTTTTTTTTTAATCATTTCACCCCAAGCAAGGAGGGAATGCCACTAGTATGCAGGGGGTTACATGGAGTGAAAGTGAGAGAAAAGATAGGGAGGATTGAGGAAAGAACAAATGATGAATAGGATTCAAGAACATAGAAGATGGCAAATGATGTTGCATTTAAATTTGTGAAGATTGTAGTTATCAGGGAAGCAAGAAAACACAATGGAGTTCCACAAGGAGGAAGTGCGAGAAAAGAATCTTGGAGTAGAAGTGGCGGTTGCATTTAGCTATTTCAACAGTAAACAAGTGGTATCTAGTGGCACACTTAAATTCATGCAGTTGAGGCACCAGAGAAAAATGTTCGTCAGAGCATTAGCCATGAAAATAATCGTTGAAAACATAGAGAGAATCTATGTCCTATTTGTGAGAAAGTGACTGATGTCGAGATGCCAGATCAGGATCGATTACATTGCAGATCCTTCTTTGGATTTTGTCAAGAACCTCGAGATGAATAGCAGGAGCACCAGATCAAATATGGCAGCAGTATTTAACGCACGGACAAGTGATAGATTTATAAATGTGCAAGATGGACTCTGACAAGAAAGATCTTCTGGGACCATATGGTAGATGCAGCTATTGATTCGATGTAGTCGCTCCACTTCAAGTTAATGTAAACCAGGTACAATGCAATATGTATTATTTACCATTTTATAAAGATATTAATTTGAAAACAAATCTGTCTATTTCTGAGATGAGGTAATTATTTACATTGCTCAGACTGTTGACCACATCGTTTAGTGTATTTGTTATATATCTGTATTGCTAATTTACAGGAATATATATATATATATATATATATATATATTGTTTGAATAAAAACAGACCACTTTAAGGTTCCATGTAATAAGTTATTTCATCACAACCCTTTTAAAGGGCTCTGGATCATCAGACTTTACTTCCAAAAGTTGAAATGAAAAATGAAAAGAAACTTACACATTTTTTTGACGGACCGCATCAAGCATATGTAAAATTAACGAAGTGAGGTGGGAGAGAAGATATGAGTGAGTTTGATGTACCATTTCAATTCCTTATCCTTAACCACACTCTGTGTAGGCTAGACGCCGCTTAACTTAACGTATGTTATCTCTAGATATAGATGGGTAAGGGGTGAGGGAGAAGACCGACTTAAAAGGAAGAAGATGCAGCAGACAATAAAATAATAAATCATGTCCATGAGCGCAGGTTTCACTCAATTTCTTAGACGCTGTTATTTCGCATTCCTTTAAAGGGTATATTTGGGGGTTAAAGTTTGATATAAATCTAAATGTCTTTAAAAATCTACGAAGAATTTAATTTGATGTTTGTTGGAGTTTTGGGTATCTTCTATGAAATAGTCGATTGGAAAGAATTCATAGAAAGTACATTGAAGGAATAATCCATTTTATATCTAGTAATCTTTTTTTATTTTTCTAAACTTTTTTCTTATAGATTGTTAAGTTGACATCTATTCGTTTGATTTTTGTTCATAAATTAAATTCGTGACTGTTTTTAGATACCTAATTATCAAAGGTTATTCCAATTTAAATAATTTTATCATCAATAATGATTATTAAAGGGTAATCTATTTCAATTTAAGTTAAATTATCAATTTAAAATTTACCCCCGTATTATTTATTTAAACTCACTTCCAATTGGAGAATATTAGAGGAGAGAATTGGATAAAAGATTACTAACAGAAAATTAGGTCCTTCTTTTACAATATTCTATAAAAATATATTCTTTTAAAATATTCGATAAAATTATTTAAATTGGAAGAACCATTGATAATAATTGGGTAGGTATCTAAAAACAGTCACGAGTTTAATTTTTGAACAAAACTCAAACGAATAGATGTCAACTGAATAATCAACAAGAAAAAAGTATGTGTACGGATATATAGAATATTGTAAAAGAAGGACCTAATTTTCTGTTAGTAATCTTTTATCCAATTCTCTCCTCTAATATTCTCCAATTGGAAGTGAGTTTAAATAAATAATACGTGGGTAAATTTTAAATTGATAATTTAACTTAAATTGAAATAGATTACCCTTTAATAATCATTATTGATGATAAAATTATTTCAATTGGAATAACCTTTGATAATTAGGTATCTAAAAACAGTCACGAATTTAATTTATGAACAAAAATCAAACGAATAGATGTCAACTTAACAATCTATAAGAAAAAAGTTTAGAAAAATAAAAAAAGATTACTAGATATAAAATGGATTATTCCTTCAATGTACTTTCTATGAATTCTTTCCAATCGACTATTTCATAGAAGATACCCAAAACTCCAACAAACATCAAATTAAATTCTTCGTAGATTTTTAAAGACATTTAGATTTATATCAAACTTTAACCCCCAAATATACCCTTTAAAGGAATGCGAAATAACAGCGTCTAAGAAATTGAGTGAAACCTGCGCTCATGGACATGATTTATTATTTTATTGTTTGCTGTATCTTCTTCCTTTTAAGTCGGTCTTCTCCCTCACCCCTTACCCATCTATATCTAGAGATAACATACGTTAAGTTAAGCGGCGTCTAGCCTACACAGAGTGTGGTTAAGGATAAAGAATTGAAATGGTACATCAAACTCACTCATATCTTCTCTCCCACCTCACTTCGTTAATTTTACATATGCTTGGTGCCGTCCGTCAAAAAAATGTGTAAGTTTCTTTTCATTTTTCATTTCAACTTTTGGAAGTAAAGTCTGATGATCCAGAGCCCTTTAAAAGGGTTGTGGTGAAATAACTTATTACATGGAACCTTAAAGTGGTCTGTTTTTATTCAAACATATATATATATATATATATATATATATATATATTACTGTAAATTAGCAATACAGATATATAACAAATACGAAAATAATTTATAGCCAATATGTATTTTTAAGTTTTTTTCTTAACTTATCATGATATATATATATATATATATATATATATATATATATAATTATTTATTTAAAAATATGATTCCAAATCGCTACATAAGAGGTCTCATGTTTCAAAACTAGAGCCGAAAACTTCAATATAATCCTTTAAATTAAATTGAGTTGAAAGTAAAATGACCCATGCCCTTTGTGCCTCCATGAAAAATTGCACATCATTAAACTTCTAAATAATAATAATCTATTAAATAATAGACACGAGTTAACGGTTTTTGTAGGCATCATCAGACTTTTGGTTTGAATTATTAGATAAAAAAAAAAAAAAAAAAATTATATAACTTGTTTAACAAATAGCCCAATCATCAGATTCATAGTAGGAATAATTAACTACAAACATGCATACTACATAACACACTTCATAATCCATAGCCTAAATTACTAGTTTAAATACCTTACATATAAGATAACCCTTTATGAAGTCGTCAAAAAACTAAACGTTACGAAAGTTTTCCTTTTTTTATTTTTTTTATTTTTATATGCACAATTCCCTTTCATAATAAAATAAAATAAAATAAATAACTAAATCTCCATAGACAATCAAACTAGACGATGGCCAATACATCTTCCGTTTCATTTTTGACACCCCACCTTTCCCCGACTTGACACCTTGAAAGTATCTCTATACCGCTACTCAATATAAACACCCTACACTCGCCTACCCAATTTAGAAAATTCACCATAGCTGTTACCATGGGGATTTTGATTTCAATTTTAAAACAAGTAAATTTCAGATATACGTTATTCCAACAAAAATTTCGCTTGAGGATGGAACAGAGCCCATTTTACTTTCAACTCAATTTAATTTAAAGGATTATATTGAAGTTTTCGGCTCTAGTTTTGAAACATGAGACCTCTTATGTAGCGATTTGGAATCATATTTTTAAATAAATAATTATATTTATGCTCTACTTTTGTATCGAGCACTATTTTTTAAAAATAATAACTAAAATACTAAGGGACTTTGGATTATTTACCTAACCAGTTCCTTCCTATTTTCTATATATTTTCACACACACACATATATATATATATATATATATATATATATATATATATATATATATATATCGAGGCAATTTTGATCTTCAAAAATTTACACACACACATATATATAAATAAATAAATAAAAAGAAAGAACGGTAAGATATATAATCCGGTGTTACTAAAGCATCGTGAATACAACATTGTGTAAATTAAAAAGTTCATTATGTAAGCTCAATAATCTGTGGTTTGTACGCCTATCCGCACTCGTTCGACTTCCTTCCTATCATCCATTTAATGGGAAAACGGTTTTACAGAAACTTGTCTAATTAAAAACGAATTTCGTGCAAGACTGTCGGAATGATATGAGGGCGTATGTCTGTGAAACCGGGCCTAGAATTGGGTTAATGTTAAAAAGAGTTATGTTCATCCATATTATAACTGTAACATCGAATTCCGTGATTAGCAAGTACAACACGTCGAGGAGGAAAGGTCAGACTGAAGACGACAAAGCCCACCGAAGACCTATAAAAGCGGAATAGGCAAAGATCTACGCAATCTCAACGACCAAACCGTTGGAAGAGGAAAGGGTAAGTCAGGCTGACGTAACCAAGGCGGACCTTGACAGACTAAGCATCCGACAGTCCAACGCAACCAGGTTTGACATATCTTGCCTGTCTCAAACCCCTTTGAACCGCTAGGGAGGCGCTTCTGGCGAAGTGCGTGGGCTTCACCGCCGCGCAGAGCTGTCCACCGAAATCAAATA